ATTTTAAAAAACGAATGTACCGAATAAAGCTATGTTTTTATAGTTTACCAATGAATTTATAAGTACACGTATTCCATAGATGGCCAACAAATAGTTGTAGAAACATATCGTGCAGATATGGTCAACTACTTTATCACTATAACATCTCAACAAACAGATTCATTTGAGTTTAAATCCAGTGACTATCGTGACATCGTGATAAAATTTATAATAATTATTAAATTTGCAGTGAACGTGAATGCGATTGTTCTTAACGTTTGCAGAAAGTGCTTTATTAATAATTAAAACACACAATAAATCTTATAAATATATATAAATACATCAGAACAACCACAAACATAAGCTACATTTTAACGTGTTGGAACAGAAATTTTCTTTTACTTTGTTAGCAATTATAGGGGCGAATAAATAATACAAATATATGTATAATAATACAAAGAGGAATGCAAGTGTCAAACGTGATGCGCATATTATAAAACTGATATTGTAAAATTAAACATAAAATCAAAACCAGAATGTTTATTCTTTGTCTGTGTGTACACTATTTCCTTCTTATTAAGCGTAAAATCTTTATTATTCAATTGAAATCTGTTTTTGCATATAATCAATAAAGTTTTTCTTTAAGTGCAAGGTGCTATTTTTATATTAGTTTTTGTTCTTTTTATGTTCACTGTCATATTTTATATAAAAGATAAATTTCCGAAAGATTTAACGTATTAGTGTGAAGATATCATCTCATTTTACTGTAACATATTACTGTGACAATTCTAAGTAAATAATTAATATTTCCTTCTTTAAAATGTTTTAAGTAATAACATTTGAGATAAGATAAGAGATAAAACATCAATAAACTTGTACTTCCACACTCAATTCAGGAATCTGTATATTTTAAAAATTAAAACTCAGAAAATACAATAGTTTATTTTTATTTGCTCATTTACAATATGTGCTTATAATCGCTTCTATTGTTTTCCAATTGTAAACTGCAACTGCATTATTGTCATTTCTTCAGTAACTGTAAGACAAAAGTTGATGTTAATACACTTGATACTTACTGTCACATTATGATATTAAAGATTTTGTATTTGGGAATTTAATAATTAATTTACCATAGAACTTATTGTAATATTAAAACGTTTTACAGAAATAGATATGTAACATTTCTACAATAGTAATTAACAAATTAAATTGTAATTTAACGAATTAAATGTACACATATACATATTTATTGTTGCGAATATATGTATATAATATTACACTTTCCAAAATTGTCAAAATTAATACACACAGTAAAATTTATTTAAAAAATCTTGAGATATTTAAACATCACTTATCTGATTGTGTAAACACGAATCAGACGTCACCGGAATATTTGATTTAAGTTTCATTATGAAATATATTTTGTTGGAGGTGTGTCTACTTAATATAAACATTCATTAAACCATTCGTAAGTGTAACATTCAGTCGTATTATTAAAAGATATGTTAACAAGATAAAAATAAATACATATATTGTTAAAAAAATGAGCACGTAAAGAATATATATCAGAATTTGTGTTACCTTTAATTCTTAACCTTTAAAAACCTCTCTGCATTTTCCATTAACTTTTACGTAACCGTTTTTACACGGAACCTGTATTACATTTGGTTCAGTTACCACCATTGTAATAAAAGTTGTTATTAACAGAAAGGTGATCATCAAACATGTAAAAAACGTGCTGATACGACTATTCTCCATGTTTTTGAGAAATATTAGAGAATGAAGGTAGAAATTAAAGATCTTGTAAGAACACAAGACAGATGCAGAATAATCGCAGTCGAGAAAGTAGTTTTTAACTTGTAGCATTCTATGAGAGGATTTTCTTTTATATCACTTAATGCATAAATTTAATCAACACATATATGATAAGTGCGTCACGTTTACACGCAATAAAAATTATATGCAAGTAATAAAAACCATATTTTTTGTTTTGTGATATGCGTTTATTAGTATATAATATTAGAGATTGTTTGTGAAAAGTATGAAACACGTTACTTTTATTTTTATTTTATCTTAAGTGCCACATGCTCGATTCTCGTATGCGATACTTATATTATTTTTTTGTCAAAAAATAGAATTTTTTATGAAAGGGTCAAAGTTTTACCATGTATTTTATAAATTATTTGATTATATCGCTTGGGGTTAAACGTGAATAACTTGAAACTGTCAACTGTTTTTTTTGTAAATTAATATTTTTACATCGCTTGATTAAACGTGAGTAGCTTAAAAGTTTTTAAATCTTTTTACAAAATAAAATGCTAAATGCAACCATATTTTTACATTCCATCAATGAATTTACAGAAGAGGGTAAGGTACACATATTCCGTAGTTGAATCACAAATATTTGGAAACATGTGAAGATATGTGGAAAATTACCTTATCACTATAACATCTGATCAATTGGACTCATTTGAGTTTTAGTGACTATCATTATGATAAAATTCAACTTAATGAAGAAATAATCATCGTTTATGTAGCGAATGTAAATATAATTATTCTAAACGTTTACAGAAAGTACTTTGTTAATGAATCAGGCAAATATAATAATAAGTTTTGTAATATATACAAATGCAGCAGATTGATAATGAGCTAAATTTTAACATGTTGCATTTGACGCAAAAATTTTCTTTTCTTTTGCTATCAATATATTTTATAAATATTATAAAAACGAATACATGTGGCAAACGTGATGCACATACTGTAAAATCTTTATTGTAAAATTAAACAATCATAAAGATAAAATTAGAATGTTTATTCTTTTTTTATTAGTAACGTGTACACTATTACTTTTTTATGAAATGGAAAATATATGTATATTATTTTATTGATCCATTCTTGAAGAGTCCATCAGTTTTTTTATGTTGCTATTTTCATATTAGTTCCTTATTTTTTGTTTACTATCATATTTTATGTAAAGAGATAATCTTTCAAAATAATAATAATAATTTTTTGTTAATCTTGATATAAATTTTTATCAATCCATCTTGAGCAATTTAAGCGAATTTCAAACTCAACTGATTTCCCTCGTTGTAAAAGGAATCATCTGAGTTTACACTCGAACATCCAACGTTAGCGATAGGATCGGGCCCTTTCTTCGAAACTTACTTGGCTACTCGGGTTTAGAAATCAGAAGTTGCGCAGAGTGAAGGAAGAAGGTGAGGAAATTACGTGTCAGCTTGCTGTCAAAGATTCTGCTCACGCGAACCAAACGTAAGATCCTGGGCACCACCTCTTTCGGATTCATCTACGTCGTTATTAACCGCGACTGTGACACTCCTGCTACATTACCCCCGGCGGTGAAATATTATTAAAATGTCGATAAGTCAAGCCTTTAATTAGCATCAACGTAATTAATGAATCCTGAATTACATTTGTATCAGGGTTGGGAAGTAACTCGTTACTTGTAACGAAGTCAAGGCCCGAGCACACGAAAAAAACCAGTATTTTATTAACCATTATTAACCAGTAAAACTTAAGACTTAGGAATTTCAACCAATCGGAATTTTCAGCATTGCTTAAGTTTCAAAATCGCTGCTTACGTTCTCGACAGTCATTGGTCATTTTCCTTAAACCTTAAGTTTTACTGCTTCAGTTTTTCGTATATTCGGGTCTTTACAGTTACTTTTTTTGGTAACTATAATTTAACTTTGTTACTTTCTCTCAATCTGTAACTGTAACTTAACTCAGTTACATTTTTTCGATAACTAATAACTAATTTAACAGTAGAGAAAGGCCTGAGAGCTTCCATGGCCGGGTTTTAGGTGATCCTCGAATGGGATACGCTCTCTGTGGACATGAACTACGTAGCCAATGTCCATATTTTGTCAATTTTTTGTAGTTATTTACAGACTTTTGTTCCACTAGGGTTGTAACTGTAGCTATAGTTACATATGTAGCGAAAAGACTGTAACTATAACTACTTACTTTTATAAAGTAATTTTCCCAACCCTGATTTGTATGTTAGCTCTGTGTATTCATTGTCAGTCACTGCTTACAACAATTATCTCATTATTTTGCCCAGCTGGGACTACATTTGGGGAAAATTTTCAGCAATAAAAACAGGAATTACACAAAGAGTTTAAAATACTAAAAATTATACAGATCTCGCTGCCTTAAAGCCCAATCTTCTCTCATTCTCTGTTCCTTAACATATCGCTGAACGTGGAGTAAATTACATTTGTGCGGCGTGTCACGAATGGAAATGCGAGCCGTTTCGGTCGGTCGGCCGGCGCGCGTCGCTTTGTCCGAATTTTAACTAATTTCTCCATTATGTCGCTTTACGGAGAGCGCGATGTCACAGACCGTTGTCGCGCATGAATTTCGCGCTGGGCACGAACGGTGTAATTGGACCATGCACTTCCGGACGCACGCTCAACGGAGTACAACCAACCAATCGCTCCGGCGTGTATGTATGCATACACACGTTGCGTAGGCTGCACCCCTCTAGAAACAATGTGGAGCTCACGTGCGTCGATATGCGTATATTTACTTATTTGCACGTCCTCTTTGCTCATCTCGCGAATGCACGTTGGTCACGTGCATAAGTGCATCCATGGCAATCGTTTCGTTATCCCATTGCGTAGAAACGTTTGTAACTCTGGGGGGGAAACGATCTGTTGTGATCTTGCGAAAGATAAGCAAAGTTTCCTTGCTTCCACTTGTGTCTTATTTATCAAGTTGCAAGGTTCATCCATGCAATTTGAAGCGACAACGTTGCGTGGGACACGTTGGCCAGGTGAAGCAATAGACGCAAATAACACGTAATAATAATTAAATAATAAAAAAGGTTGGACGTTAAAGCGTGTGTCTGTGTGTTGTGGAATTACTGGAGATATAAATCGTTGATTCGTGTATTTTTCTCTCTCTCGAAACCGCCCTGACCCGCCTCAAGTTTCCAGCCCTCTGTCATCTGTTCGTAATAGAATGAGATAGTCTGCGACGTAACTAATCGTTCTTGCACCTCCGAGATTCGCCTCCGAAAATAAAGCAGGAATCAGCAGATTGACAGATTGACGGAGCGCGATCGTACCGATGAAAAATACAAATCGCGGCCGTCGCTCACGTGCGGCGCGGTATAAATATTTCCGCCGATCATCCATTCGTAATAGGGCAGAATCGCGAAAATCGGTAGCGCTAAAAGCTGCATAGCCGATTCGTAGAACGCGACATTGAATCGAATCCTCCCCCCCTAGAGAGAATCCCTGGAAAAAAACGTCGAAAAATATTACGCGCGATATATATATAAAAAAAAATCGCCGTCGCCGGGGGATCGACGCGAGGCTCTCGTCGATATTTACGCGGGTGCATCAAAGCCGTGTGCATATTTAATTCCGCCCGGTCGACGTAGGCACTTTGCGGACGCGTAACCACGTCCGCGCGCAGATGGACTAGTATTTCTGTCAATTTGCGCCCGCTCGCTCCGCTTCGCGTGCGTCATCGCGTTGCCGGCGAGCCGGTTATATCGTAGAATCAGCGGGTGTGCAGATAGATACGTGTGTAATCACTCCGCCGCTCGAGTATTAGCCAGCTGCGCGAGATAATTCGGTTGCCCACACAATCTTCCTTCCGGAGTCGACGCGAGCCGTATCGGCTCGCCATGCTTCAGCGTGGTTCCCCAGCCGGAAGAAACACGTCGCTCCGATAATCCGGTTCGCATCCCACGCGATATAGATCGCACAGAAGAAGGACTGGCGACAGATCAACCTGGCTGCTGCGCGGCTCGTAAGGTCTTTCCGCAAAACGTGGGCTAATTAGTGAAGTTTTTCAGTGGTACGGCGCGATAAATATAGCTTTTATATTGGAAACATCCTCGCCCCTTTCCTAATTTTGCACTTATTATATAGCGGGAAGTTTCAGGGTTTTTTAATATATCACATTATATGACGCGAGCTCAATGGAATATGTCTCTCTATGTGTCGGAAATAGACACTCTGTAGCCACTCGCCTATGAAAAGGCATTTCCTTTCGACGCTGTTATTTTCCCAACGAATGTGCTTCTCCACTTTCATCCTTTGTCTCTTTAAACTCCTGGCTAGCGGCAGAGCCATTCAAAAACTAATTGTCGCGTTTCCCGGATGAGAGGAAAAGGAGCCCGCGGGATCGAACGGACGGGCTCGTCCTGGTCGACGGAGACCCGTCACTGTGAATGAAAAAAAATCGACATCCGGTTGCACGCATGGCAGCTTAATTACTGGCCCCGTGCTGGAGTGCGAAATTGTCAATTACTGGGAAGACGCGCGGACGGGATCGCCGGGCCACAAATTAACGCGAACGTGCACCGTGCGCTCGTATTCTGACATATCGATCGTGATTTCTTCCTTGAGACACGCCGCTCCGTGAAAAGTCGATAACGAATGCCGGGGATATTTTTACTCAAGTAAATCTCGCTGATTTAAAGACTGGTATTTTTCATGGAAAGTAAGCCTTACTTATTTTCCGCGTAAAATCTTATCCTTAAACCGATGAAATTTATTTTGGCAATATTTTCTTCGGAGCATAATCTTTACTGTTAAATTATTGTAGAACATAAAAAAATGTGAAAGATCATCGCTGGAATTCTTTTATAAACTAAATATATCGCCAGAACTTAATGTCTAAGTAAGAAATAACAATGGCTCGTATGATTAAATCAAGTAATAGAAAAGGGGCTCAGAGGGCCTGAACAAGGTTGTAGTGTCCGATAAAATAATTTTCATTACAAATGCATATATGCGTTTCGGTCCTTATTGGACCACCCTCGGTATAAAGAAGAGATAGATTCGATTTAACACATGGACGGATTTGCATATTAAATATCTACAGAGAATTTACGCAGTCATTAGGGTAAAA